CTGCAGGGATCTCTCTTTCAAGCTCTCTCTGGACAAGAGTGGATACAGGACACGGCCCCTGGATTGCTGAAATTGGGATAACTGTAGGAACACTATAGAAACAAAGAATTACATGAACATACCCATAAATGAGAAACTGGGAAGGGACATCTGCTATAAATACTGCCCTGTACCTTTTGGAATACCTGATTCAGAGGAAAGAACAGCCAACTTTGATTTCAGATTCGTTTTCACCCAGAGGTCCATTTACAACCACCCCCAAAAGCAACCTGTAACATCCGCTTTCACCCCAGTGTAACAAATTAACATGATTGTATCAAAAGGCAAAAACTGTGGCAATTTATTGATATTCTGTCCAGTGTCACTGCTGCAGCATTTTTTGCACAATCATTATTGGTCTGTCAAGCAGAGGAGAAACATCTGGGATCTGTCTGTACCTGGACATCACATCTTTTAACTAAGCACTTTGTATAATGTTCACTTAGAGAATTTTGCAGAAATAAATGGGGTTTAAATCCTTGCAGCTGAAGTTACATGTCAGGCACCATTTTCCTAAAAATCTCTCTTTGTCAAGGACTACAAAACAAAGCTACGGCTGCTTGATCAGTCTGCTCTTCACCCAAACCTCCAAAAGACCCAAGACTGCCAAAATGAAAAATAGAGTCAATACAGAACAGCTGCTTTCAATATTTTAAGATTTACTTGGATGACTTGCAATGGTTAACTTAATTTTACAGTAGTTTAGGTAGGGTCTGGGACTCGCTGGATAGTGCAGATTAAGGATTTGAGCTCTTGCTTCACGCACAATGAAAATGCACCTCTGGCATGGACAGCAGCAAAGCAGCCCCGGTGCTGGCTGCAGCAGTTGTACCCTTCAGAAATTGAAAACAGCCACAGAGAAAAGGCAAAGGCTGCTCTGGAGCTTTCTGCAGGGACATCTCTGCCCATCATCACCATTGACCAGGGTCTGGGGGGCTCCTTCAGCACCACAGGGACTGTCCCATAAGGAATGTCCCACAAGGACTGTCCCATAAGGAATGTCCCATAAGAAAGGTCCCATAAGGAATGTCCCACAAGGAATGCTCCAGAGCTGAGGTCACTGAGGTGAGATCATCTGTGGAAAGGGAGGAATTCTGATTGCAGCCCCAGGGAAGTCAGATGACACACACACACACACTGACTCTTCCTTGGGAAACACAGCAGGACTTTTGAAGGCAGACTAACAAACTCTACACAAATTAAAACACAAAATCAACAAAAGAGCCCAAATCCCCAACACATGCAGCCCCAGCAACACTCGCACTCCATTTCTCACCACTACAACTCACTTGAATATCTTTTGCTTTTTGCACTGAAAGTTCGCTCTCAAACCCCTCTCATCTGCTGCACACGTGGTTACCAAAGAGTGCAACACAAAGTTCTGCAGTTTGGGCAGATGCTGGATTCCTGCAACAGGAGGTTCTCAAGCACTGCTGCAGCAATGGGGCGGCAAGGAGAGCCTTTGACACACGCATTTTGCACGAGGCCGCAGTAAACACTGTAGGAGCAGGCTGTAAGCCGTGAATATCAATATTCAAACCCATTTAATGCCCCGTGGAACTGAGCTCCCACACGTTTGCCTGCGGAGCAGGTCTCAGCTCTCAGCAGAACATGACCAGCTCTGCCCAGGGGGGCAGCGAGGCTGGCTCAGAGGAGCACCTGGGCTGTACACCAGGTACAAACCTGGCCAGGACAGGGCCTCTAATGGCAGCAGGGCTCCAGCTGGATCCCATCCACGCACCTGTGCCGCTCCTTCAGCACAAAACTCCCAAAGAACACGCACGTTTCTGCATTTTGTCCCTCCTGGAGGAAAGCTGAGCCCGAAGAACACCTGCACACAATGAGAACCCAAGTGAGGAAGCCATAAAGAGCCAGTGCCCTTTATTGAAAATGCCCTTTGCAAACATCTGGCCGTACATTCTCTCGAGAGCAGCACCAGGTCCATCCTGAGCACCACGCTGAGCAGCAGCACTGCCCCGGGGCCGGGCACAGGGCACGGGGCGGGCACAGACACCCCGTGCCACACAACACGCTCGGCTTTTCAAAAATACAACCATTATGTACAGCAAAATATGTGGTCACAAGACCGGCCTTAAACCAAGGCCTTGTTTACACAATTTCTGCAATGTCAGGAAGTATTTTGGCCGGGAATGTAATTCTTCTTCCAAAACAAGTAAATATTTGCAATTCTCACTGTGAAAAGAACGATATACCACCTCTGTATTGACACGGGTGTGACATATTCCCACAGGGAAAAGGAATAGAGAGTACCTTTATATTGATACAACATTTCCCTCAAGTGCCGAAGCTAATATAGCTTTCATCACTCAGTCAAGTTAAAGCAGGATGATTTGTATCACTTTTTATAGACAAGGCCTATATTTAACAGGCACCAAAACACTTCAGAGTATTTGGAAGATCAGACTGCTGAGCTCCACGCTTTGCACTGCCCTCAGCAGTCACAGAGAACATGGAATGCCTAAATACATTCAAAACCCTGCTCAGACAGTGCCACGGCTGCTCAAACGCTTCACTCTTTAACAAATGAACCCTTTGGCCAAAATCAGAGTGCAGAGGGGCCAGCACAACACAGAGCTGAGCTGGCTGCCCCAGCTGCTCGGCCAGGCTCAGCACAGCTGCACTTTGTTTTTTCGCTTTATTCCTCAAGCCCAGGCACTGGGGAAGGCGAGGGCTCTGCTGGCTCCTGGCAGGGCACAATAAATACTGCTCCTATCAACCACACCAAGCTGCTGTCAATGCACTGATCGAGGCCTGGTGGGTGCTGAAAACTCTACATTCCCATTGAATTTAAGGCAAAATTGAACCATGGCAGTAACCGAGATGTAAATTTATTTTTTTAACATCAGACATGCAGTTTGTAAGCTGCAGATGTGGCAGCAGCCAAGCTCCCTCAGCTTTCAATGCAGTTCTGGGGTTAAAAGAAACCCTTTCTGTCAGTGTTATTCCCCTGCCTCCCCAGCATGGGAGTCCTCTGGCTTCTAAGGAACTTCCAGGAATTCCTGGAAGATGAGCTGCAATGAGGTTTCCAAATTTCCCTTAAAACAGGGGTAAATTGATGCGTTGGTCAGAGGGAGAGCCCAGGCAGCAGACTGACACTGCACACTGCTCGGCCAGGGCTGGGGCACAAAGTTCTCCTGCCTGAAACAGGAGAAATGACCAGAATCACAGAGGAATCATGGCAGCCACTTTCAGTCGGCCTGACTAAAAACCCCTGTTCAACCTCTGTGTTTGAGATGTAAGATAATTTCAACACTTCTTGGGACAGGGGGGAGAAGGGAAAAGAGCTGCAGGTTTTGAGTGCAGACCTTTAAAGAAGGGCACAGAGAGGAACAGGACAGGTAAAGAAGCCCCTTGGCCCCTCCAGCTGTGGGAGGCACAGGTCCTCTCCCAGCCCAGCCCCTCTGCACACAGAAACAAAAAGGGCTGGTTTATTACTTCAAAGTGATCATGCAGTGAGACTAAAAGTTTGAATTTCATAAAGAATTGACCTTTAGAACTTCACCCCAATAAACCACGCTGCTCCCAGGAGGGAAAAAGGGCCAAATCTTCCAGGGCCTGATGCAGTGAGCCCCCACTACCTTCCTAAAGCTGCCTCTGAGCACAGCCTGCTCCCCACAGCTTGGCAGCACACTGGGCCAGGACTGAATGCAAGCAAAAACCTGCATCAGAAACGACTAAATACCAGGTAAAACAGCAATCTTGTGGTTTGCCTTTTTTCCACCACTGTTCTCAGCTAAATCGACCCCTCCACCTTTCACTGCTACTGATACAAATCTGGATTAAGATCCTGTGTGAAAGTCAGTGTTTCATGTGATACATAACAATGCACAAAGTTGTTTTCTAAAAAACAGCATTTGTATTAAAATTCTTCAAATGGATAGACATCTCTTCAATGCATGTCTGCAATTAAAATGACAGTTTTTGGAATTTTCTTGGTACATCACAACGATAAGATTTCCTTCTTTGCTGGCTGGAGGCATATCCCACGACAAAAATCAAAGGGAAATAGAACCAAAAAAAATTTTTAGAAGCCCCCCCACCCAAAAATCCCAAAAGGCTAAATTCTTGTAAATTTGAAGTAAATGAAGGCCAAACTTGCAAGACATGGAAATAACAGGTAAAAGGCTCAGATGGAAATAAGAAATAAATTCCACTAACAATAGGCCCTTTTGTCCTGGCTTGCTCGGTGTGATTACTGCAAGGAAACTGTTAAGTAGTTTTTGGAGTAGTAGATAATGGGATTCTGTGGAGCTTTCACAGGTTGGCACCGGCTGGAACAGCTGAGTTTTGAAGGCACTCTACAGACACAGGGCTGCTGTTGGCCCTGCATCACTCATGGGAAGTCTTTGCACTTGAGAGAGCTAATCATCAAAATCAGGTATTGCCAACCCAAATCCAAAACCCCTCGGCAAAAAAAGCACCACCGCCCTCCCACCCCCCGCCAAAGGAAAAACCAAAACCACAACGAAATCACACACACACGCACACCTAAACAATTGTGCAGATTTGTAACATTTTCACAGCTGATTTAAAAAATAAAAACAAAAAAACCCAAACAAAACCAGGAGAAAAACCACCACGCTACCACTCTCCTGCAAACTCCCATCCGATACAGCAGGTAAACAAAATAGAGCATTATTCCAGGGATATCGGCGGCGCTGCCCGGCGCGCCGTGCCTGGCAGCACCGATCGGGTCACAGTCCCAGTTCCATGTGCAACTCTCCGGGCGGGACGGCCCCGCACCGCTCCCGCTTGCATAGAGACGGCGGCAGCGCCGGGCCGGGCCCCGCTGCTGCGGGGCTGCCGGGGTGTCCCGGGGTGTCCCGGGGGTGTCCCGGGGATGCGGCCCCGCTCCCGTCCCGGGGGTGCGGCCCCGCTGTCCCGGGCCCGGCCGAGCTGCGGGCCCCGCTCCCCGCCGCTGTTCCGGGCGGGCTCCCCGCGTGGCTCCGCTCCCCGGGCGGCGGGACCGGCCGCTCCCGCGCCCGCCGCCGACACCGACAGGAAATATGCCATGACCGAGACTGGACGAAACGTACATGCCGAGAAAAGCCACATTTCCACCACGATGAGTTTTGCCGCCGACGTTTTCTCTCCCCGAGCGTGCCCGCCGGGGCGCGGGGCCGCCGCCGCCCTCAGAGGATGGCGCAGGAGGCGCAGCACGGCTCGTCCCCGTTGGGCTGCGCCGCGTAGTTCATCTGCCTGACGATCTCGGCGAACAGCTCGTCCACGGACGCTTTGTTTTTGGCCGAGGTCTCCATGAAGGGGCAGCTCCACTCCTCGGCCAGCGCCTTGCCCTCCCCGAAGGAGACCTCGCGCTCGCCCTCCAGGTCCACCTTGTTGCCCACCAGGATCATGGGCACCCGCTCGTACCTCTTGACGCGGATGATCTGGTCCCGCATGGGCTTGATGTCCTGGAAGCTCTGCTGGTTCACCAGGCTGTACACCAGGATGAAGCCCTGCCCGTTCTTGATGTAGAGGTCCCGCATGGAGGCGAACTGCTCGGTGCCCGCCGTGTCCAGGATCTCCAGCACGGACGGCGACGAGTCCACCTCGATCTCCTTGCGGTAGAAGTCCTCGATGGTGGGGTCATACTTCTCGATGAAGGAGCCGGTCACGAACTGCACGGTGAGGGCGGACTTGCCCACGCCGCCCGAGCCCAGCACCACCACCTTGTACTCCCGCATGGCTCCCGCCTCCCTCCGCCGCCTCCCGCTCGGGGCAGCCGCGGCGGGCGGGGACGGGGCGGAGGGAGGGAGGGGACGAGGGACGGCCCCGCGCCGGGGCGGGGAAGCGGCGGCCGCGCCTCGCGGAGCGGCACCGGGAGAGCCCCGGCGCTGGGCAGCGCCGAAGAGAAGGAGGAGGAGGAGGAGGAAGGGGCTGAGGAGGAGAAGGAAGGAGGGAGGGAGGGAGAGCGGGCGGCAGCGCCGCCGGTACCGGCCCCGCTCCCGGCGCGGCGGGGCGGAACAGCGCTACCGCGGCCCATGGCGGCCGCCCCCGCCCATTGGCTGCGGCCCTTGGACCGCCCCCGTCCATTGGCTGCGGCGCTTTTGCCGCCCCCGCCCATTGGCTGCGGCGCGGCACCGCCCGCCCCCATTGGCTGCCGGCGGAGAGCGGCGGCCCGCGCCCCGCCCCGCGTGTGTGACCCCCGCCCTGCGCCGGGCCGCGCCGCGCCCGGGACCGGGACCGGGAACTGGAACGGGAACGGAATCGGGATCAGGAACGGGATCAGGATCGGGAACGGGACTGGGAACGGGATCGGAACGGGATCGAGATCGGGATCGGGATTGCGATCGGGATCGGGAACGGGAATGGGATCGGGGATCGGGGATCGGGAACGGGATCGGGACCGGGACCGGGATCGGGATCGCCGCGCGTCCCCTCCCGCCCAGGGTCCCTCACGCGGCGCGGGAACGGGGGCCGGGCGGTGGGGCCGGCAGCCCGGGTGCCCCGCCCCGCTGTCCCCGCCCCGGTGTCCCCGCCCGCTATCGGCGCTGCCCGGGCCGCTGTCCCGCACCTCCCGCCCTATCGCCGCGTGCAGCCCGTGCCAGGCCGGGCCGTGCCGGGTCGCGGTGCCCCTGTGGCTCCGGAGCCCTGCCGTGCCCCGTGTCCTCCCCGCTGGCCCCGGAGCTTGCCGTGCCCCGTGCCCGGTCATCCCCGCGCTGGCTCCGGAGCTTGCCGTGCCCTGCCCGCTTGCTCCAGCCCGGAGGACAGCCCCGTGCCCGGCTATCCCCGCGCGGCGGGTCGGGAGATGTGGCCGCGGCCGTGTCGGTGCCGCTGCCCCCGGTGCCCCGTGAGCGGCGTGCCCCGCGGGGCTGAGTCACGGCGCTGGCTGCTGCCGCTCTCTGTGGAAGTCGTCCCCTGCGCTTTCTGTTAGACATTCCTTTCAGGAAAGTATCGTTAGTTGTTTTGGCACCCTCCGGTCCTTGCTGTTGCATCTTACTCAGTTCTTCACAACTCTCGGTATTTATTCACATAATGGTGACATTTAGATCCTTGCTACCACACCTTGTTTCCAAGCCTAATCTAAACACAGCTCTTGAGTAAGCAAAGTCTAAAGGATTTGACATAAGTTTTGTAAATAATGTTCTCTTCTTCCTGAACAGTTTTCACAGAGGCTGAATTCTACTGAAATTACTTTTGCAGCATTCAGGTGCTGTGGGGATTCACCCTGTGATCACCGATCCCCTGTGAGTCCTGCACCCCTGGTGATCCCCTGGAGCTCCAAGGGAACCCCTCTGCTGCTGGTGTGTAAGTCTTTGCAAATAAACCTCTCCCGAGGAGCAGAAACGCTGTGTTCCAGCTGCCCTGCTGTGGAAGGGACAGGGGCAGGAGCAGCTTTGTTAAATATGAGCGTGTGTGAAGGCCGGTGTGTGGTTTGTGGGTGCAGCCATGGCAGATGGGTGTCTCCGGGTGGGGAGCTGCCCTGTAGGCCCCACCTGGTTCCTGCCAGGTGCACATTCTTCTCATGAACCTGCAGAGCCTGTGGGCTGCAGGCTGCTCCTGAGGCTGGGCGCAGGTCAGCCTGGGGCTGCAGCAGGTGTTTTATCTGCCATCACAGCTTTGGGCCCCTTTCTGTTCTAGACTGCCCAGGTGTTTTATCTGCCATCACCTCTGGGCTGTGCTTTGGGCCCCTCTCTGTTCCAGACTCTGCCCAGGTGTTTTATCTGCCATCACAGCTTTGGGCCCCTCTCTGTTGGACACTCTGCCCAGGTGTGCCTTGCCTTGTGACAGGCTCTGGGCCCTGGTTTCCCAGAGCAGCACTGCAGCTCCTGGAAAGGCTGAGGAAGAGCTCTGGGTGCTTCCAGCCTCTTGTTCTGGGAGTTGTCTCCATGGCTGCTTAGCCCATCCTTTGGAAAATGAACAGCTGAGCTCCCTTGGAAGCTTTCAAGCCATTTCTCCACTTGCTCTTGCTGTTCCTTTCAGTGTCCATCTGATTGCCCCTCCCAGAAGTGCTCTGGGAGCAGAGCTACCACATCCCCCAGCTCAGTGTGAGCCAGCCAAAATCAGTCACAGGCTGGCAAAGTTCTCTTCAAAACCAGCTGTAAGAATTGCTGAAAGGCCCCAGTGTCACTGCAGAAATATTTTATTTTCTTCATCTGTGCTCAGGTTTTGGGTTTGATGTGGGCTTGCCCACCTTCATCACTTCTGTAGCAAACCCACATCTGAATTATTCACACTGCACTTACTCTCAACATGCCAGTAGCCAGTTTTATAAAGACCAGGCTGTAATGTTGGTTTTCATCCTATCTATTTAATCCCAGCTCACTGCTGGATTGTGGTATGTGTTGTTTTTTTCAGTGACAGAATAAATGCTCTCCATTTTTAAATTCTACACTCTGCTATTAATTGTTGCTGTTCTGAAGAAGGAAATGTATCACGTTCAAAGTAATCAACGATCTTTGTGCTGTTGAGTTTAAATATGGAATATGATTTCTCAAGTGCCGGTGCCCTACTACATGTATTAATTTAATCTCTCATACTACCAGCCAGCTCTAGGTAATTAGTTAGTGCAAGGAGTCTGTGGGAAGTAAGTGAAAGAATCAGGTCTGGCTTTCTCAGAAATGAATTCTGGTGCATGGCTACAGACCACTGAGGGATCTGTGGTATGGAAAGTTTGAAAATCCCTGGCTCAGGGTTTAGGCACAGAAATTAAATAAATTATGAGAGGATGCAGCACATAGTATTTGAATTATGAAGCATCCATTGCATTGGGTGGTTGTGCCTCATGAATGGTACTGGTTTAGATTTTCAGGAAAAAAATTAATGTTTTCCTGAAACAAGCTCCAGTTGGGCAACATGAAGGCATGGCAATGCGCAGAGTCTAGGCAAAATATAATCATGAGAGTTGGCTGATTAATTTGATTTTCAAAGCGATCAAGCATATTTTAAAAACAATTTCAGGATGATTTGGTGCTGTCTTAAAAATGCCAAAATAAAAATCAGCTGAAAAGCATAAATTTGGTTACTAAGCAGTTCGCCATGCAATATTTACATGTATAAGCAGCTTTTACTGTGCTGAGTAACCCTGCCTGTTCAGTAAAAGTGCTCGTACAGGCCGAGGTTGTTTCTGTGCACAGAGAGTGAGTCGTGAGCTGCTGCTGCTGCTGGGGATCCTTCGTGCAAGTGAAGCACAAGTGGCTTTGGTGGGTTTTTAATCTATTGCACTTGGTAGGCAAAGGTTAAACAGGGTAGTTTAGGTCGGTAACAGGTGCAATATCTAAAGTCTGGGTGCCCTGAAAGTTTGTGAAACACACAGAGCAGGCAGAGCCAGGTGGGACAGTGCCTCTCTGAAACCTGCAGCTCTCTGAAGGCAGAAAGAGCCGCTTGCCTTCACTCAGAGTTCCCTGCCCCTGTTAGTGGCCGCACATTGAAATAAGGTTATTAATACATGGGAAGTTCTTGTGGAAGAGACTTCTGAGATCGCAGTGCTCTGCCAGGTACCAGCTAGGCAGGGTGATAATTGAATTTTAAAGCTACAAATCATACTAAATGTTGTATTTTAATTTCTCAGCACTGCTGCTGAGAAAATCCCAAGGGAAGTGACGGGCTGAGGATACTGCACATCATTTCATTCCTAAGATGGCAATGTTCCTGGATACAACAGACGTACCTTACCACTCACTTAAGATTAAGTGACTTTGCTGGCTCACAACCCAATATAAAACAGTTAAACTGAGAAGATGCAATCATTTGGGGAAGAGTTGCTGTTCTGTCACTCCCATGCTGTCAGTATGTGACATTAATATTAATAGTAAACCTAAAGGTAAAGGGAGAATAATTACCAAGGGAAATTACAAAGATGAAATAATCTCAGAGTTCAAAGAACAGAATTGCACCAAATGTTTTCTGGCACTGAACAAATCTGGAGAGATTTATTAATGTTTACTCATTTTGAATGTATGAAATTGGGCAAGATTTTGGGGCCTGAATTAGTTTTTAGTGCAGTGGTGTGCAGAGAAGTCTTTATTTTGGATTTGGCAGCAGGATGATTTAGGTTGCTTTGGAGGGGCTGAGGAAGGATATAAATATAAAAATAACCTGGCATCCAACAGCATTTAAATCAAATATTTTGCTTATCTGCGCCTTGAGAAATTCTCAGTAATTCCATATGTGAGTCCATATCTGCAGCAAGCCTGCCTAATGTGTGTCTCTCTTAATGCAGTGGCATTGCCAGTTCCCGTTCCAGGACCAGGGTGTGCCCAGGGCAGGCAGAGCAGCAGCCAGGGTAATTCCAGGGGCAGCTTTCCCTGGGAGTGGAGCTGTTCATGGCAGCCCCGGGCAGGCAGAGAGCCCTGGTGGCTGCAGGGGACTCAGGCAGGGCTGTGTGTGCGGAGCTGGGCTGGGCTGGCTCAGCCCTGGCTCTGTCCTGGCACAGCCCTGGTACAGCCCTGGCTCAGCCCTGGCTCTGTCCTGGCTCAGCCCTGGCTCTGTCCTGGCTCTGCCCTTGCCCAGCCCTGGCTCTGTCCTGGCACAGCCCTGGCTCTGTCCTGGCTCTGTCCTGGCTCAGCCCTGGCTCTGTCCTGGCACAGCCCTGGCTCTGTCCTGGCTCAGCCCTGGCTCTGTCCTGGCTCTGTCCTGGCTCTGTCCTGGCTCTGTCCTGGCTCTGCCCTGGCTCAGCCCTGGCTCAGCCCTGGCTCTGTCCTGGCTCAGCCCTGGCTCTGTCCTGGCTCAGCCCTGGCTCTGTCCTGGCACAGCCCTGGCTCTGTCCTGGCTCTGTCCTGG